AATCATCAGCCAATCACATCGCAGCAACTCGTTAACAGGAACAATCAGCCAATCACATGGCAGCAACTCGGTGCGCCTGATGAAGACAACTTGCTGTAGTCCAAACGAAGCATCAGAACAACAAGCACGAGAACTGAAGTGTCTGTGAACGCAGCATGGCAGTTGGTCAGAGTGTTTCAGAAACAGTTTTTGTTTTTCTACAGATGATGGTCCAAAGACAGAAATGTCCCGAGAGTCACAGAGTCAGAGGTCAAAGGTTACTGCAGATGATACAAAGACAACAGCTGCTCAAACAAGCCCTCGGTCCGTGGCCTGCAGAACCATCTCTGAACCCGTCCAACCTTGCAGCAGAAGACCACTCCTGATGTCACTTCCTGTCAGCTAAGAACAGGAAACTGAGGCTACAGCTCACGCAGACTCACCAAGATGGGACCATTAGACCTGGTCTGGTTCTGAATTCCCTGGACTTCAAGGGCCTCCACAGCCACCAGATGTGAGTCCAGTCAGAACCTTTGGCATGCTTCCAGCATCTTGTTGAATCTGACCAGAAGAATTAAGGCAGTTCTGAAGACAGAAACGGGTCCAAACCGGCACCAGCAGGTGGATCTCAGATGTCCGGTGAGTTTTTGCCTCTTTTATGTAAAAGTAAACAAAGACCAATTTTTAAAAGAGCTCTGAGCCCCAAACAAACAGGTTTCCTGTTTTCACAGGAAGTGATGTCATCGTTGGCACTGAGCTGCATTTTAACCAAACTTTGAAGCTTCTCTGATCATTTGTGTCTCAGCAGGACTCAGATTCTTCCTTTGTTGAGTCTTTAGCATTGAGACGAGGCGTCCTGTTGACCCGACAGGAAGTCAGTCGGACCCGAGGCCGTTTGGCCGCTCTGCTGCTGATGGAGGAGGAAACGCTCCAGGGTTTGAGTTTAGGAGAAATACGTTCAGAACATGAGCTAATGATTCAGATCATCTCATGTTCAACACTGTGAAGATTAAACGCTTCAGTCTGAGAATCAACATATCGACCAGAACGTCGGGCCCTCTGAGGTCATTCTGGTTCCTGATCATCGGGTTCTGCCATAAGTCCAGATGTTTGCTGCTGGATTGAGTCGCAACGAACACCTGACCTTTAAACAGAACCGGTTGATGTGACTTTGATTTACAATAAAATTTATAATAAAAACTTGTCAGTTGTTCACGACCTCCAGCACAGAGACCAGAACCTGGAGCAGGTCGGTTCTGCCCCCCGCCCCCCCGAGACACAGATGGCCTGTGACCTCTGACCTCTGAACCCCATAACGTCCAGCGCCAGTCAGCTGATTTCAGGCATCAGTTTAAAGAATAAATGGTTTCCATGACGACGCCTCCATCACGTTTTCACCTCCTGGAGCGGAAAACGTTTTTAAATAAAAACAAAATGTTTTTCAATAAAAACGCGTTTAAAATGTTTTTTTTTAAGGGGAGCCTTTGATCTTGGTTATTGATCTTCGGCTCATTAACGGCAGGTTCTTTGGTTTTAGGCTGAAAAACATAAATTTGTAAAACGATGTCTCTTGAACAGCTTCAGGTGAATTCTTCTCCTCAGACACAAACGGACTGAACCAGAGTCCGGTGCAGATCTGAGAACTTTACAGAACTTCTTCTGGGTTTCATTCTTGTTTTAGCTACTAGTTCAGCTGATTTTAGCTTTTAGCCTTCAGCTTGTGTTCTCCTCATTTAGCTCCTGTTCTGCTTGAACCGAGTTTTCACCTGAGTTCTGACAGAGGGTCAGAGTTCGGTTCAGTTTGATGTTTCAAGGATTCAGAACCGACCTTCATCCTGCGGGTCGGGATCAAGAACTGCAGCAGAACCCAGAACATCTCCTGCATCCGGACTTTACCAGGAGGAGACAACAGCTGAACAGAACCAGAACCAAAGAGCAGAATCTTCCCTCTGATGGTTCTGGTCACAGAGGAGGAATAAAAAGGTTCGGCAGATGCTGCTGGATGAGGAGGAGGTGTTACATAAAGCTTTCCTCCCTCACTAATCCTTCTCCTCCTCCTCCTCCTCCTCCTCCTCCTCACAGCCAACAGTTTCTTACATAATTCACATCTTCATCACCTGCAGACCCAAACGACCGGAACCATCCTGTACCTGCAGCTGGAGCAGGAGCCGCTCTGACCCGCTGCAGGTCCACAGCTGCCAGGGACCAGAACCGGGAGAACCCCGGGACCGGGCCGGACAGAACCGTGCACGTTGAACACTTTCAGCATGCAGGTGACTGCAGGTGTCACGTGACATTAATCAACTTCATCACTTCTTCACTCACTGACACACGCATGCGCAGAAGGAACAGAAGGTGATCCTCACCTGTTTGTGGATCAGAACCATCCAGCAGCTCCACGACCGCTGCTCTGAGCGCACTCCCACATATACTGTACGAGCGCGTGCACGAGATAACGGCTCTCCCGCCCCCTCCGGACTGAACCATTCTGACATGCGCGCGGGGGGAGGGGGGACATGATGCTGCAACATGGAGGCCAAACACGAGATTATTAATATTATTATTATTGTTGTTGTTATTGTGTTGTTATTGTTGTTACTATTATTATTGTTGTTGTTGTTGTTCACCAGGAAAAAACACTGTGGGGGAGGAGCTGATGAAAATTTAACTTTTATAAATCTGTTTTGTTTCTGCATCATTAAATGACTTTTTAAAAATAAAAACTTTAGCTGCTACAGAAACCACAGCTAAAACGAACAAAACTAATTAAAAACACTGAGAGCTCAATAACAGCTGAACTTAAGTTGAGAAACTGAAACTAAGGGAAGCAGAATAGAAGCTGAAATTTGTAAATCTGTAGCTAAAAGCTAAGTATAACTAAACAGTAGTTATCAAAACCACAGAGAAAAGCTGAACTTAGCCAAACAGCAGCTAAAAGCTTTAACTCAACAGACAGAAGCTGAAATGAACCCGAATTAAATTAAGAAAAAAAAAATTGAATTAATCTTCTTCGTTCAGCTTTTCCCTTTTCAGGGGTCTCCACAGCGAGTCATCCTCCTCCATCTCACTCTGTCCTCACTCTGTCCTTTGTCCTCACTCTGTCCTCTGTGTCCTCTGTCCTCACTCTGTCCTCTGTCCTCACTCTGTCCTCTGTCCTCACTCCATATCCCCTCTTGTCTTTTTCCTGTAAACATTTAATTGATAAAGAAGAATATTTGTGACAGCAGCCATCTGCTGAAGGAGCCGAGGAACAGCTGAAACCTGAACTCGCAGCTGAAGATCAGCAGCTTCTCTCAGCCAAGTGTCTGGTATCAATTCTGACCCGGGTCGGACTCTGAACAGAACCAGAACTGATCAGAGAGCTGGAACGGACCCTGAGAGAAGCTCCGAGGAGTTCCGTCTGAATCAGCTGCAGATTTTTCATCTTTTATATTTTTAAATATTTTTTCTCTCTGATCTTTTGGTGGAGATGAAACGATCGTCTTCCTGCTCCAGGTCCGGTTCATAAAATTCAACTGAGTGTTTTTCCAAACATTCATCTGAAGTCTGTAAGAAGTAAAGTTTAATTTTTTAATCAACATCCATCCATCCATCCATTTATCATCCCTCCATCCATCATCCATCCCTCCATCCATCCATTTATCATCCATCCATTTATCATCCATCCATCCATCATCCATCCCTCCATCCATCCATCCATTTATCATCCATCCATCCATCCATCCATCCATCCATTTATCATCCATCCATCCATCATCCATCCATCCATCCATTTATCATCCATCCATCCATTCATCCATTTATCATCCCTCCATCCATCCATCCATCCATTCATTTATCATCCATCCATCCATCATCCATTTATCATCCATCCCTCCATCCATCCATTCATCCATTTATCATCCATCCCTCCATCCATCCATCCATTCATCCATTTATCATCCCTCCATCCATTATCTTTACCAGCTTCTTCCTTTTTGGGTCGTGGGGGTCACTGGTGCCCATGTCCAGCCATCACTGAGCGTAATAAATCTTACAATAACAAAACAAAAAGATTATTGAGCAAAATTAAAAAAAAACTCAAACATTCAAAGAAAATGAAGCAAAGTAAATAATTTATAAATTATTTTTTCTACCAAAAAATAAATAAAAATGTTTTTTTAATTAAAATGAAAAGCTGATTTTATTAAACTTACATTTATTTTAAATATAAAGAAACCGATTGGAAACTATAAACTGAACATTATAAAATGTTTGTGCAGAAAAAACATTTGAAATAAAACTTAAAGCAATAAAACCATAAACTCAGACAGGATTTCAAAATAAAAGCCCCGCTGTCCAGTTGCCCAGAAACAGATTTTATTTTTTAAATCATGAATGATCAGAAATGATTTAAAATCTGGTGAATTCTTTATTTTGCTCCAGCTGACTGGAACCCTGGGGGTCAAAGGTCAGAGGGTCCAGGTGACCACCCTGATGGCAGTCTGAGCAGCCCGCCGGATGTCCTGGTCCAGGTCTTGGCTCCTCCTCTCCAGCAGGCAGAGCTGCTCCTGCAGGAGGCGCCGGCCCTCCGGAGCTTCAGCCAGCGAGGTCAGAGCCCGGAGGCAATACAGAACCAGAGCCTTCCTCCTCCTCTCCTCCTCCTCCTCGTGGCTCTCAGACAGCAGGTCCAGGAAGATGGGGAGGACGTTCAGCTCCAGACTCAGACGTTTACCTGCAGGGGGAGGAGCTTCAGGTCACATGATGAAGGTGCTGGTCTCAGATCTGTTTAATCCACCTTCAGTGGATCCTGAACCCTAACAGCCTCATCACCGACCTGTGAGCAGAACCTCTCTCACAGCAAGGTCTCTAGGTCCACAGTCCTGGTCCTTGAAGGCCAGGATTATGGACCACTGATGCAGATCACATCAACTTTCTGTCTTTGTCTTTAAGAACTTTCAGAAATCTAACTTTTCAGAACCTGAAGGTCCGTAGATGTTTCAGAACAGACTGATGGACAGAAGATCCTTTGATGAAACAGGAAGCAGAACAAGAACCTGCGGTGATGATCGTGGCGTTCATCAGGACTCCTGCCGTGTTAGTCTGGACCTCCAGGTCTTCATCCTGCAGCAGGTCCACCAGGATCGGAAGGATCTGCTCCTCGCACACCTGCTGCTTCCCATCCACAGGAACACTGAAACCAGCAGGAAACAGTCAGACACACACACACACACACACACACACACACACACACACACACACACA